AACTTAAATTCTTCACATTTTTCTAAGTTAAAAAGCAAGAATGCTCAAATCTTTCTTTTTAGCTTCTGAAGCTGCTTCAAGCTCAAAACAAACCCTAGCAACAAAAACAAAAAAAATGGCGGCGACACAAATGCTGCTGCATCTTCTTCTCATCATTCTCTTCATCACAAACCCTAATCGAATCGGAGCAGAACTCACCAGCGAGTTACAGACATTGATAGACATTAAAAAGGAGCTAGACCCAGAAAACAAACACCTAGCTTCGTGGAGCATCAATGGAGATCCGTGCAAGGACTTTGAAGGCGTTGGTTGCGATTTGAAAGGAAAAGTCTCAAACATAACTCTTCAAGGGAAAGGTCTGTCCGGTAAAATCTCACCGGCCATTGCAGAGCTCAAACACTTGACGGGTTTGTTCTTACATTACAATGCTCTTGTCGGAGACATCCCCAGAGAAATTGGTAACTTGTCGGAGTTAACGGATCTTTATCTCAATGTCAATAATCTCTCCGGCGAGATTCCTTCTCACATTGGGAAGATGGAAGGCTTGCAAGGTTAGTCTTTTTTTGTTTTTTTTATTTGATTAAATCCTTTGATCACAAATTAATCTAAAATTTAACACTATAGATCTTTGGTTTCTGCTAATTAATCACTTGTCTTATTAAGATTATTCATTCAATGTTCAAAGGATATTTGAAATCTAGAAATCTGAGCTCCTTATTTTGAGGGTTTTAGTGACTTCACTATTTTTGGGTTATATTGAAAAAGTTTTGAAATTATTTGAATGTGTTAGATGAACTTTTATTTTTGGAATTTAATGCGTTAGTGATTTGCCTTTGAAGCGTCCTTTTCATTTCCTTTGTTTGGGATTTTTCTTTTTGTAATTGTCCTCTTTAACTCTTAAGGAAGAATAGTCAAGAAATTTGTGCTACTTGAAAAAAGGAAAAGCTAACTTTAAAATTTGGACCATTAATTGCTTAATGCTCCCAAAAGAATTACAGACTTGAATTGAAGATACATGTACTTTTCTTGAATAATCTTGTTCATTTAAGATAATTGATCATTTAAGCTCTAAACTTGGAGTTCAATTAGTACTAGGACCCAGTTCCAAACCAATGGATATAGAAAGTAAGCTAGAAAAAAACTGAGCTTGAAAACCTGTTTCCAGTTTTGCTAGTCTGATCTTGGTTCTCTCCATTGTTGTGTAGTTTTGCAGCTCTGTTACAACAATTTGACAGGAAGCATTCCAAGGGAGATTGGTTCACTGAAGAAGCTCACTGTTCTTGCTCTTCAATCTAACAAACTCACTGGTGCTATACCTGCGACTCTAGGGGATTTACACGCTCTAGAGCGGTTAGATTTGAGTTTCAATCACCTCTTTGGCTCTGTTCCAGGGAAATTAGCTGGTCCTCCTCTGCTTCGAGTACTCGATATCCGCAACAACTCGCTCTCTGGCAATGTACCTCCTGGTAATATACGGATCCCCTCATTGTTAGAAACAGCAAATTAGAAGAGTGTTCTAGTGGGAAAATTACTCTATATATAATCTTCGAAAAGAACTTGATGTATTTGTTTCGATTTATCTGTTTAGCGTCTCTCATTTTGGTTTATGTTTCTTTCACACCAATTTGACAGTTCTGAAGAGACTGAATGACGGCTTTACTTTTGAGAACAACTTGGGGCTATGTGGAGATGAGTTCAGGCCTTTGAAATCTTGCAATGGCACAGCTCTGCAGGAACCCAAACCGTATAGTGCAACCGTGACCGGTTTTCCATCCCGAGATATACCAGAATCAGCTAATCTTCGGTTACCTTGCAATGGAACAGACTGTAATGCTCCTCCAAAATCTCACCAAGGTTCAATCTTAGTCGGTTTGGTTGTCTCGACCATCGCATTGTCTGCCATCAGCATCCTCTTGTTCACACATTACCGTAGACGCAAACAGAAGCTTTCAACCGCTTATGAGACGTCTGAAACTCGTCTCAACACCCTAGGAGGAGGCTTCAGGAAGAACAATGGTTCTCCTTTGGCCAGTCTTGAGTACTCCAATGGTTGGGACCCGCTTTCAGACAACAGGAACCTCAGTGTCTTTGCCCAAGAAGTTATCCAAAGCTTTCGATTCAACCTTGAAGAGGTCGAAACTGCTACTCAATATTTCTCTGAAGTGAATTTGCTCGGAAGAAGCAACTTCTCTGCAACTTACAAAGGAATCTTGAGAGACGGGTCAGCTGTTGCGATTAAACGGTTTAGTAAAACAAGTTGCAAATCTGAAGAACCTGAGTTCTTGAAAGGACTTAACATGTTGGCGTCTCTGAAACATGAAAACCTGGTGAGACTTAGAGGTTTCTGCTGTTCAAGAGGCCGTGGAGAATGCTTTCTTATCTATGATTTTGCTCCCAATGGAAATCTACTGAGCTATCTCGATCTCAAAGATGGCGATGCACATGTTCTTGATTGGTCCACGAGAGTATCCATCGCCAAAGGCATTGCAAAGGGTATGGTTTCTATTACCGAGCCATTTTCTCTGCAGTTCTTGATTTGCCTCCATTTGATATTTTGATGTGTGTGTTTTAGGGATTGCTTATCTACATTCATACAAAGGAAGCAAACCGGCGTTGGTTCACCAAAACATCTCAGCCGAGAAAGTCCTAATCGACCACAGATACAATCCGCTGCTGTCAAACTCAGGCCTTCACACGCTTCTCACAAACGACATTGTCTTCTCTGCGCTCAAAGACAGCGCAGCGATGGGCTATCTCGCTCCAGAATACACCACAACAGGACGGTTCACAGAGAAATCGGACGTATATGCTTTCGGGGTTCTTGTGTTCCAGATAATCTCTGGGAAACAGAAGGTTTCGAATCTGGTAAGGCTTGGAACTGAAGCTTGTAGGTTCCATGATTACATAGATCCAAATCTTCAGGGAAGATACTTTGAATACGAGGCCACGAAGCTAGCGAGAATCGCGTGGCTATGCACTCATGAATCATCCATTGAGAGACCGTCGGTGGAAGCTGTTGTGCATGAGCTGGGGAACTGTAGTAGCTGTCTCTGAGAACTTGTTGTGATGTACCTTAGGAAGCAAGGAAAGGGTTTGTTTAGCCGCCTTTCTTTTGTGTTTGAAACTGTTCAATGTGTTGTAAGTTGTAACTCTGTTTTTGTTGTATGTTTTTGTAAGATCTTCAGCCTCGGAAGAAGACGAGTACATTAATTCTAAGCAGCAGATGTTTATGGTACTTTGTTAGTAGTATTATTCTTCTTAATATGGTACTTTGTCATTTTTCTTACCAATTGTACTTTGATCTTTTTTGAACTTATAAAGTGATAAGGAAGGAATTTTCCGAAGCCACATTGATAAAACATTCAAGGATTTTTGCTTTAAGGTCTTGATAAAACCACCCAGAAAAAAACTCACACAACAATACAATTAATGGAGTAGTAGATAAATAGATGAAAAATAATAGAACTAGTATTTTTTCCTTGGTAAAGGATAAATTGAGAGAGATATTGGTGACGTGGCCCATTGACAAACGTTGAGTGATCATAGCCGTCCATTTCTATGCAACCGCTTGATCGAACAAGAGTGGACCCGATCCACAGCAATACAAACAAAGCGAATCGGTCTCAGCTTTCTTCTTCTTCTTCTCGAAAGCGCGTAGGAATGGGGAATACGTATTGCATCCTCGGTGGTTGCATTGATCAAGCGAGCGTTGGTGTGGTCGAACGCTGGGGTCGATTCGAGCACATAGCCGAGCCTGGATGTCATCTCTTCAACCCTCTCGTCGGTCAGTGGCTCGCCGGAGTTCTCTCCACCAGGATCAACTCTCTCGATGTCAAAATCGAGACCAAAACTAAGGTCTTCTTCATCGACTAGTCATTGATTTTGAGTGTTGGAATTTTGGGAGATTGAAATTGTTTTGAAATCTGGGCTTTGTTGTGTATTGCAGGATAATGTGTTTGTTCAGCTGGTTTGCTCGATTCAGTATCGTGTAGTGAAAGCTAGTGCTGATGATGCGTTTTATGAGCTCCAAAACCCTAGAGAGCAGATCCAAGCCTATGTTTTTGATGGTATTTTTTGCTTCTCTCTAGATGATCTCTTTTCTTTTCTCTTCCCGATAAACTCTCTGTGTTTGATTCTTAATTGCTTCCATGTATGTTTTGTTTCCAATCAAAGTGGTTAGAGCTTTGGTCCCTATGATGACCCTGGACGCCCTTTTTGAACAAAAGGGAGAAGTCGCCAAGTCTGTTCTTGAGGAACTAGAGAAGGTAACATGTTGGTCCTCCTTCGTTGTATGTTTGATTTTCTCATCGGTTATGTTCGAGACTCTTATCTTCTTTATTGTGATCCTGCATTTGAGCTGACTAATTGGTACCTTTGAGCTTCAAGTAGATATGTTTGGATTGCATAGAGGAAAAGTCATAACATTATCCGTTGCTATATTAATAGCATGCTTTCAGGACTGTAGTGCTCATGATTGGAATTTTGGTACACAGGTGATGGGGGCTTATGGGTACAGTATTGAGCACATTCTGATGGTTGACATTCTTCCCGATCCCTCTGTACGCAAGGCGATGAACGAAATCAATGCAGGTAAACTTTGTTATCTCATACTTTGAAGATTATAGGAGACTATAAGTATGTTTTGTCAAGAGGTTCATTTTGATTGGTTACTTTCTTTCATCAGCTCATGGGAAGAGTTAATTTACACTTTGATGATGACTTCATTTCCATTTTTCTTCTCAAAAATCCATTCTACTTATATATGCAGCACAAAGGCTCCAGCTCGCGAGTGTTTACA